CCCGCCCGCCCGCCCGCCCGCCCGCCCGCTCGCTCGCTCGCTCGCCCGCCCTGACTCCCCGCTCCCCGTCCACGCGCAGTCCAGAGGTCCCTGGCCGGGGGCAGCGCCCTCCGTAGTGCCGCCGCCGCCCTGGCCGGCCGGCCGGTCGGCAGCGCGCTCCTGCCGACCGCCACCGCCCGGCCATTCGGCGTGCGGACCTTCACCTCGTACAACCACCAGCGCCTGGCACAGGCCGAGCGCAGCCTGCAGGAGGAGCCCAACAGCCCGCAAGCCCGGGCCGACTTCTATCGCGTCCTGCTGGACCTCAACCGCCCGGAGGACATTCTCCGCCACCACCGGGCCCTGGGCCCGTCCTCCGAGCCGGAGATCAAGAGCCTGGTGGATGTCGCCCAGCGGCGTTTGTTCAAGGACCATAGTGAGACGCACATGCGCCTGAACACCCAGACGTTCGAAAGCAAGTTCGGTGCGTTTGCCTGGTCCGATGCGCGCTCCTCATCTTCCCTTCTCCTTGCGCCCCTCTTCTTCCGCCTCCCCGCCGTCCGTTTGCCGGCGTGGTTACTTTCCTCTCTCTCTCTCTCTCTCTCCCTCCTCTCTCTCTCCCTCCTCTCTCTCTCTCTCCTCTCTCTCTCTCCCTCTCTCTTACCCTCCCCTCCCACCCCCTCCCCTCCCACCCCCTCCCCTCCCACCCCCTCCCTCCTCCACCTCCCCCCGTCTTCCCCCTCCACAGGCAGGCCCCAGTCCCCTCCACCCGGTGGCCCCCGCCCCGGCCCCCCGTTCCCCTTCGAGCAGAAGGAGCAGCAGCCGATCCCGGTGCAGATTGTGCAGAACAAGTCCTGGTTCAGTAACTTCATGGCCATCGGTGCGTGTGCCGCCTTGTCACCCCCCCCCCCCCTCCCCCCCCCCGGCCCCCCCACCGGGGCATGTCCTCGCAACGTGTCCTAACACCTGCACGCATGTGGCATGTTCCGCCCCCTTCGGCCGGCCCCCGCTCCCGGCCCCGTGTGCACCTACGCAGCCCGCTTCGCCCTCTTCGGCTACCTGATTGTCATGTTCGCGCGGAACTTCTCCGGCGAGAGCGGCGGCCAGAAGTCCAACTTCGAGTCGCGCCTGGCCCAGCGCTCGACCACCACCTTCGACGATGTGTACGGCTGTGATGGCCCCAAGCAGGAGCTCCAGTCGGCCGTGGACTTCCTCCGGAATCCGACCAAGTTCACCCGCCTCGGTGCCAAGCTGCCCAAGGGGTTCCTGCTGACCGGCGAGCCGGGTACCGGTAAGACCCTGCTGGCGCGGGCCATCGCCGGCGAGGCGGGCGTCCCCTTCATCCATGTGTCCGGGTCCGAGTTCGACGAGGTCTTCGTCGGTGTTGGTGCCCGCCGCATTCGGGACCTGTTCAGTGCGTGCTTGCTCCCCTTTCGCGCATTCCCCGGGCCTTCCCCCCCCCCTCCCCCTCCCCTGCTCTCCTTCCCTCGCCGCCGCCACCACCACCACCACGGCCCGGACACACACCCTGGCCCAAGGCCCGCCCGTTGCTGACCGCGCCTATGTATCGATCCCGCCGGCACGCCCCCCCCCCCCTGTGCACAGAGTCCGCCCGGGCCAATGCCCCGTGCATCATCTTCATCGATGAGATCGATGTGGTCGGCTCGCGCCGTAGCAAGTCCTCCCTCTCCAACAACTCGGCCACCCTGAACCAGCTGCTGGTCGAGCTCGATGGGTGCGTCTCGCGTTTGGCCTCCCCTGTCCGGCTTCTGCCGCACGGCTGCGGCCGGGTCCCTCCGTTTTGCATCACAGGGGACCCCCCCCTCGCACCATTTGCTTCCCCCCCCCCCCGGAACACTGACCCCCTCGCCCGCCGCCGAACAGCTTCACCTCCCAGGACGGCGTCATCATCATGGCCGCCACCAACTTCCCGCAACTGCTGGACCCGGCTCTCGTGCGGCCCGGGCGCTTCGACCGCGAGGTGCACGTCCACCCGCCGGACATCGTTGGCCGGGTGCAGCTCCTGGAGTACTATGTCCGGGGCATCCCGCTGGAGGACACGGTGGACCTGTCGCGGCTGGCGCGCGCCACCCCCGGCTTCACCGGTGCCGATATCCGGAACCTGGTGAACCTGGCGGCCATCGGCGCGGCCACGGCCGTCCCGGAGACGCACCACGTGTCGATGGAGCACTTTGAGCAGGCGCGCGACACCATCATCATGGGCGCGCCGCGCCAGTCGGCGGCCGCCTTCACCCCGAAGAACCTGGCCGTGACGGCGCACCACGAGGGCGGCCATGCCCTGGTGTCCTACTACACCAAGGGGTCCATGCCGATCCACAAGCTGACGGTCCTGCCCCGTGGCCAGGCCCTCGGCATGTTGACCTCCCTGCCGGAGGCGGACCAGATCAACCAGACCCGGGAGGAGCTCCTGGCGCACCTGGACGTGGCCCTGGCCGGGCGCCTGGCCGAGGAGCTGATCTTCGGCGTGGACAACATCACCACCGGCGCCGCGTCGGACTTCCGCCAGGCCACCAACATCGCCCGGTCCATGGTCATGCAGTTTGGCTTCTCCCCCCTGCTGGGGCATGTGCATCTGGAGGAGGACAAGATTTCGTCCGAGACCAAGAACATCGTCGACCAGGAGGTCCGCCGCCTGCTGGACGAGTCCACCACCCGGGTGAAGAAGCTGCTGGCCAGCCGCCGGGAGCAGCTGGTCCTGCTGGCCGACACCCTGATCGAGTATGAGACCCTGTCGGCCGATGACATCCAGGAGCTCCTGGACACCGGAAAGGTCCGCCGCCCGGCCCCCATGACCACCGCCATCACGGAGAGCCGCCGCCAGGAGCAGGCTGCCACCGTGGCCGGGGGGTCCGGCGCCGCTGGCAAGATGTCCGGTGTTGTCCGTGGCCCGGTGGCCGTGGCCAACAAGGCCGACGCCTGAGCCCGGCCCGGTCCTCCTCCCCCCCCCCCTCCTCCCCTGCGCGGCGGCGACCCCGACGAGAACGCGAGGCGACACTTGCCATATTTCATGTGCGTCAGGGAAAAGAGTGTGACATCACCCCTCCCCCGCTCCTCCTGAGGTTGGGACGAAACCCTCTCTCTGGGGGAGAGGAGTGGCGAGCCGGGGCCGGGGGGCTGCAGGGGGGGGGGGAGGGGGGGAGGCTGCACATGTTGTGCGCGTGTGCGCGTGCGCGTGTGTCCTCTCCCTCGCCCCCTGCTTCAACCCCCCCTCCCTCCTCCCCCTCCTCTGTCGCTGTCGAGGGTAGGCGAGCGCTGGAGCCGCGTCCCTCCTGCCACCCTTTCCTCCATCCCCCCGTTGCGGACCGGCCCCCTCTCATGCCCTGCGGACCGGCATGTGTGCTTCCATCCCCTCCCATCTCCTGCTCCTCCTCCTCCAAGTGGGGGCGATGCGTGGGGGTGGGGCGCGCTTCTGTCGTCCGTCCGCCGCATGCCAGCCACGCGCGCTCGCCTTTCCTCGACAGAGCATCTCCCTCCCCCTCCCTTTCTCCCTTCCTCTCTGTCTCTCTCTCTCCCCCCCTGTCCCTCCCTCTCGCCGTGTCGCCCTCATCCCGAGAGCCCCTCGTTGTTGTCCCCTTGTAGAATGCCTTCTTCCTCCCTTTCCCCTCCCCCCAATTCCACACCTAGAGCCCTTTCCAAGTTTTGTTTGTGTTCGCATTTTTCGACCGCGATCTCTGTCTCCGCACGAGCGGCCGAAGGGGGGGGTGGGGTGGGGGGGCGGGGGGGGGGACACGCGCGCGCACAGGGCAGTTCGTTCGGCAGCAAAGAAAAGAAAGGAGGTTCCATTGCCCCTCTGCCCTCCGTCCACGCTCTTGCCTCGCCCTGTCCCTCCCTCCCTCCCTCCCTCCCTCCCAACACACGGACGCGTGCACCTCGCACACGTCGTATACACACACACACACACACATTGCAATGGCTGGTCTTCGCGGAAAACAGGGGAAAGGAAAAAAGGGCAGCGAGCGGCGCAAGCTACTCTCTCCCTCCCTCTCTCTCTCTCTCTCTCACACACACATGCAGCGGAGGCACTCACGCGCCCCAGGTCACTGAGCCGGGCCCGGACGCGGCACGGGCTGCCGGCTGATGCGCAGCTGGCTGGTCAGAGCACCCAGCGACTGCGTCGGCAGCACGCAGTCCACCTTGCTGCGGTTGAGCATGAAGGCCGGGGCCACCCAGTCGCCGCACGGGCATTGGTGGCCGATCCAGGAGAAGCCCCCGAGCTTGGTCTGGCACTTGGCATTCGGGCAGGCGATCTTGCCCTGCATGGCCGACGGATCGCCGGTCACATCCAGCATCCACTCCATGGGCTCCACGAAGAAGGAGCTACAGAGCGACCCGCCGAAGGGGCGCAGGGCCCGGGCCAGCGGGGATTCCGGCCCGGCGTGCGTCACCGGCGTGGCCGACGCGGCCAGGTCCCCCTGGTGGCTGACCATCACCGAGTGCGAGTAGTCCGCCCGATAGGACCGGTGCGAGGCGAGGCCCTTGCGCAGCAGGCGCCCCGGAGCCGACGAATCGCCGGCCCCGGCCCCGGCATCGGCCCCCGTCCCGCCGGTCAGCGGCTCATGCGGCAGGATGTGGTCCGCGTCGGCCAGCGGCCGGCGGCATTGGCGGCACCGCAGCAGGAGCTTCTGATTGGACACGGCGCGCGTGGCCTGCGGGTCCTGGCCGTAGATCGGCTCGGCGGCCACGAAGTTGAAGTCCTGGCGCAGGGCCGCGATGTCGTACAGCCGCCGGCGCCGGTACACCGGGTTGTTCATGTCCAGCTTGAAGCCCATGTCGCGGAAATTCCGCAGCTGGGCAACCAACTCCCCGGGGAGGCTGCCACGCGGGGAGGAGAGGGGGGGGGGGGGTGCATGTTGCCGGGGGACCGATGCACAGCAGGGGCAGGACGCGTGCGTGTGCGCGCGCGCGTGTGAGACAGGAAAAGCCGACCGTCAGTCCGTGAAAGTTCCCCTCCCCCACATGGCTGGCGCGGGCAGATGGCATGGGTACGCACAGGGCGCGTGGCTCCTTCTCCGCAAGGAAGGCCACCAGGCCGGGGAGGATGTCGATTGGGGTGCCATCTTCGGCCGGGGCCGGGGCATGGTCCTCGAGGATCGCGGCCACCTCGTCCGCCGGGGCCTCGGCCAGGTCGCGGTACAGTGCCGCCGCGGCGAAGAAAGCCGCCACGCTGAGGGACAGGTCGCTGGACCAGGGACGAGGGCGAGGGGGGAAAGGGGGGGGGGGGGGCGGTTAGTGGCCACGACCAGGGGCGGGGGGCCTATTCGCGCCGGGATGCATGTGTGCACACATGTGCACGTGCGCGTGCGCCGGTACAGGCCGCGGGGCGATGTGCGAAGGGGGGCCCGGGGCGGGGAGACCCGCGGGCCGCGGGCAAGCAAGGCGCGCACCAGCACAGCAGCGTGGCATCGGCCAAGGCGCCGGGCTCCTGGTCGACCGGCCGCAGCAGGTCCAGCACCTGCGTGGCGAAGGGGACCAGGTACGGCCCGGCCGATTGGCTGTCCAGGGCGGCCGCGTCGTCGGACCACTCGCACGTCTGGCTGATGGGGGGGATCTCCACCGCGGTCACGCGAATGTCCTTCAGATTGGTGACGGCATCCAGCTCGGGCAGCGAGCCGTCCGGCCGGCGGCGGTCCGCCACCTCGGCAATCTCGCCCAGGTACACGATCTGCCGGATGGCATGCCGGTCCAGGCGGGCGCGCTGCTGCGAGGCGATGTAGCTATGTGTCGCCAGCGAGTGGAGGGCGGCGGGTGATGAGTGGCCAGTGGTGAGTGGCCAGCGGTGGGTGATCGGTGGCGGGTGATCAGTGGCAGGCAGCAAGTGGCAGGCAGCAAGTGGCAGGCAGCAAGGGCAGGTCGGGGGGGTGTGAGCAAAACGCACTCGCCAATGAAGAGAGTGTCGGTCACCTTGAAGAACATGGTGATATCGTGTCGGAGGGAGTGGGTGGGGGGAGGGGGCTTGAGAGGCGGACAGGGGCCGGTGTCTTTCTCTCTTTCTCTGTGTCTGTGCGTTCCGTGCGTTCTGCGTGTGCGTGCGTGTGTGGTGTGCGGGGAGAGTCTGGCGCGCGGCCCCCCGGGTGCGCGGCCACGGACGAAGCCCGCCCATAATCGTGCCCCGGGCGCATGTTTTTTTTGGTCGCCCGGATCGCATCTTGCCGGCACACACGCGGCGGGCAGGGGCTTCCCCTTGCGCCCCCCCCCCCCCTTCCCCTCCTTGGGGGGAGTCGCTGGGGGGACGGCGTCGGGCGAGGCGCGGCGATCTCCCGGGCCGCGCGCCGGGAGCATGGCCAGCAGGTCCGGCGGGACCTTGAGTGCCAACCGGCCTCACATGCCACGGGAATGGCGTTCCGGGGATTCATGTGCCCCAGCCTCCCCACCTGGTCCCCCGCCCGGCCGCGGCGGTGGCGGCGGTGGCAGGGG